TTTTTAACTGGGAACTTTTTTAAAAAATTGAAACAGTTGATTGTGCATATATGTGGGGTACTGTGTTGAATATCAATACCTGTGTGCAATATGTGGTGCTCAAGTCAGGATAATTAGTATATTCAACATTATACAATGTGATTGTTTTTCATGGCCCTTTACCAGTTTCTCCCTTACCTCCCTCCCCCTCCCCCTTTTCCACCTCTGGTACCTCAGTTCTGTTCTCTCCTTTTGAAAGTTCAACGTATTATTGTGATTGTTGTATCTTTCTTTTAAAAATTTATTTGAGTTTTTTTTAGCTCCTACTTGTGAGTGGGGCCATGAGGTATTCTTTATCTGTGCCTGGTTTATTTTACTTAACACAATGCTCTCTAAGTTCAAGATGTCAGTCATTAAAAAAAGAAAACCACAAGAAACTCTATATTAGACAATATAACATAGTTACTGAGCTTGTATGTGTGGTGGGTGTGGATCTCAGCCCAAATTCAGGTGTGTGGAAAATAATTCTTAATTTTAATAAAGATCAATATCTTTTCTGTTGCAAGTCCCTCAATCAGGCCTCAGTCAGTTGTAGGAAAGGAAGAGGAAACTTTGGTTTTGAGTGTGATCTGTCTTGGAGACCCCTTCTGGTTCCACTCTCCTAACTGGCCCCCTGTTGCTGATTGCCACAAGATGTGTGCCCTCCACCTGAGGGCTCGCTATGCTTTTCCCCAGCCATGCTTTGGTAGCAGAAATCCTTTTGTGAGAATGTCTGGCCTGGCCTTGACTGCCTTGGCAGAGGTGTAGTAAGAAGCATTAGTTGCTATTTCAAAAATATTACTCTATTATAAACTTACCTTCCTCAAGGGAGCTTAGAATTTACAAAGGAGAAGAACATACAGAAAAAAAGGTAGCTACTTAGGCAAATATGGCTAGAATTAAAGAGTTATCTGATTAATAATTTTTAAGAGCTTACTTTTTTTTTAACACATGCAAGACTGCTAAAAAATATTACATTTCAACTCAACATCTTGTCAGAAACTTTGTTTCTATCTGGTAATAAATGACAACTTTTGAATGTGAACTAAAGAACAAATGTTTGGGAAAATATGCAGATGCATTAGAATGTCTTCAGATTCAGCCAGAGCTGTTAGAATTTTGAATTCCCCATTCAGGCATGGTTAAGACATGGGTATCACTGTGAGCAGATCTACATAAGATGAATGAGGCTCTGGTCCCTAGAAAGTTCTACTATTTTTTGCCAGGTCCTGATGTGGCTGTTCCATGGGAAACAGTCCTCTGACTCTCCTAGCCTGATTTAAAGGACAGAACCAGGTTTATCTTAAGGAGTTTGGGATGTATTCAGGAGTCTTTTGGTCCTATAGATTCTCTCTATCTACTTCCTATTATCTGCAAATCTTTTGTGACAGGACACTAATGTTTTTTTTTTAATTCACAATTGGAGATACCTTTAACAACAAGTACCTGGTATGGGGACAACAGTGGCTGAAACTTGTTCTCACTCAGCTGGTAATTCTCCAGTGTGTCCTCCAGACCAGCACCACCAGCATCACTTGCGGACTTGTTAGAAATGCAAATTCTTGGACTCCACCTCAGACCTCCTGAATTAGAAACTATGGAGGCAAAGCCCAGCACACTACACTCCGAAGACCTCTGTGCTAAACTGAACAATAAACAAATGACAAAAATAGAACTGATAGCACCTCCCAGCCCCAACTTAATTGGAAGTGAAGTTGATAGACAAAGCAGAGGAACCTTGAGGCCGGAGAAGAAGGTGAATTGTGTCACACAGTGGTTAATAGGAACGATATGTGAGGGTGCAACTGTCCTTCTTGGCTGCTCAGTGGAACAGTGTTGAAGCCAATATTGCCACCTGTGGTATGCTAATACGTAACTTGTTGAACTGCTGACTAACCACTGACAACCTACTGTGTGCCAGGCACGAGAGAAACAATGAATAAGCTTTGAGAGTCTAGTGGGAGAAACAAGTACATAATCAAGCAACTACCCTTGTTGTAGCTCTTGTGACAGTGTATTGGAAGTTATGGAAGCCAGATGAAGGACTCCTAATGCAGACTTGGAGAGGGAGGGTGATCAGGGAACATCCTGAGACCTAAAGCATAGATATGTGTCAGGTTAAGGGAGTGGAGCTCAGGGGACAGAATTCATTGACTTTTCTTTTTTTAATAAAGAAGCTCTGTTTCAGATGATTTATCAATCTCTATCATTACACATAGGACATTAAAAAATGCCCAAGACATTTCCTAATTTGTCAAGAAGTGAAATATAATGAAATAAGAAAACAAGTCAGAACCTGATTACCCACCAAAGTTACAAAATGTGATTTAAAAATACTACAAGATATCTTTGTAATGAAGTTACATGTAATGAAGTTGCTTGTTTGATCAATGTTTCAAGAAATAAATGGTAGTTTCTTTAATCTATTAAAGCAGATTTTTGTTGAGTGACTCTCTTTGACATTCATTGAACATCTACTACAAGCCAAATGATAATGGGAGATCAACTACTGCCACAGGGTCTTGAAAAAAGTTGGTAATTAAAAAAATAGTATTATCAATAAAGAATAAGGCTCATTGTATATCGGGGGTCTTAAACACACTAGAAGGCCCCTGCTACACACTAGGCCTTATTGCCATAGGCTTCTTTCTCTTTCTCTCCACATAACTTCTTTAATAGAAATTTTCCCCCGAGAGGGATTTTTCTTCAGTGTACATTTCCAAGTTTGTACCCTCAACCATCAGAAAACTGTTCTAGATCCATGGGTCTCAAATCTGTCAGATCTAATGCTCATTTCTACAGTAAGTACTTTTGCTATACACCTTTGACTATCAGAAAATGAAATGGTTGGGCCGGCCCGTGGCTCACTTGGGAGAGTGTGGTGCTGATAACACCAAGGCCACGGGTTTGGATCCTGTATAGGGATGGCCAGTAGGCCACTTGGGAGAGCATGGCGCTGACAACAACAAGTCAAGGGTTAAGATTCCTTACTGGTCATCTTTTTTAAAAAAAAGGAAAAAAAAAAAAAGAAATGAAATAGTTATAACTACTTTCTTGGTATTGTGTTGATTTTTTTGAAATTGCATGTAGGGATATTTTAAAAATAAATTTCAGTACATGCAGTAGAATATAACTCCACTAGACTAAGACTCAATGAAGTTATACGTCAGGCACTTGTATACTTTTGTAGGATCACCTTGAATGCTACAGCTACAAATGAAGACTGATAGCTGTGTTGTTTTTCCCAAATTGTGACCAAATTGGTAAAATCCGAACAAAGCAATGCATGATAGTCTCTCAATTTATGTGGCAGTTGTATTCCTGGAAATTTCAGTGAATATTAAAGCCATACACAAATGCTTGCTTGCTTGCTTTTTAAGGTAAAAGAAAACATAAGTCCTTTGCCTAGGTAATTATAAATGGGTTTTTCAGCAACATGAATGTTCTTGGGACATTGAAGTTCCTGTGAGGTTATTTTCTGTTGCGTGGGACCATGCCTTTCAACACAGGCAGATTAGCATCCCTGCCCGTTGGCCGATAATCAAAGACTTGCCAAAATTTCCAAAATGCTTTCCAGGATACAGTGAAAACCATCCTCCCCACATACCTTGAGAGTAATTTTAGTATCTAGATGAATTTTATCTTCCCCTTTCTCAAACCAGGCTTGCAGCTAGTGGCCAAAATAGAAAACATCTGAAGCTCATTTAACACAAATGCCTTTGACTGAGAAATTTATCTGTTTTTCTTCCAGCGATAATTTACCTCCTGTTAAAACAAATGCCTCATCTAAGGGAGAAAATTGTGGAGTTGTAAAATTCAGTAGCAATTTTGATGATAGGAATTTTGCCAGCCGAACCTTCCAAGTTGCCTCTTGCAACTTCAAAGGAGTACATATGAGGGCCAGAAGGTGGTGTTCTGCACCTTTAAACCAAGAGTAATGGTGGGGTCTGGCCATCTGGACAGCTGCAGGAATTCCAGGAAGTCACTTACTTCTAGGTAAGTGACTTACACAAACCTTAAGCTAAGTCACCTGGCCTGGCTGTAAGAAAGCAAAACTGTAAACCGAAATTAAATAGGTGTTCACTCAGGGTCCCAGCAGGAAATGGCACACTCGAGTTAGGATAATTCAAGGAGGTACTAATAAGGCGGTTGTTTACAAAGATGTGGATAGGGTGAGGGAAAGCACAGGGATGGTGCAGGACTCTGAGGGCTGTTACTGCCTGTAGGCCGGAAGGGACAGGGGAGGGAGGAAGTCCTGAAACCTGGAAGGAATAGGTCATTCAGAGCAGCTGCCTTGAGAGGAGCTGTTTCCTTTGTGGAAGAATGCAGTTTAAGGTGACTTTACAGGAAGAGAATTGGGGAAATCTCCTTTCTCCCTCTGTCCACTATTGGGGAGAATGAACTCAGTGGGGATCCAGAGGGCAAAGGAGCCTGTTGGTGTAGTTGATGGAGGTCCACCTCTTGCACAGTGAGAAGGGTGGAGAAGGTAGAGAGTGGTCCTGGGGGAAAAAAGCCTGATACTTGTTGTGCTAGGTGTTTTCTAATTCTTTAATGGGACTTTTAGAATGCTAGGACGTTGATAATTGGTAGTCTTATTCTTTCCCCTTAAAGGCAAACATATTTACCTACCTCTATCATGCATGCATGTAAAGACCAAGCTGAACACACTACACATAGTGTGCAATTAACTTTGACAAATGAAAATGAGAAAATTTTGCTCACCCATAGGTCAAGAAGATGATAAGTAGAGTTAGTAGAAAACAATTCTAGAAATTACATTTAATCTTAGACTACACCCTGGTCCCCACCAATATTCATTCGGTCCTTCGTAATCGAAAGCAACCTGGTATAGAAGAAAGACCACTACTGTGGAGTCAGACCTGGGTTTGCAAATTGACTTTGCATGGCTAGCAGGATGGAAACTTGGCCCAACAACTTTACTTCTAAGCCTTGGTCTCCTTGTCTGTCCAATGCAGGGAAAGGGTCAAGAAAACCTATCTTATGTTGGATGAAGATTAACGAAACGACGAATGAAAAATGAGATACATATAAAGCAACAAGTGTATCACAGGTGCTTGGCCCATGTTAGACCAGTGGTTTTCATAGTGTGGTTCTCAGATCAGCTGTATCAGCACTATCTGGGAACTTGTAAAGGCATGCAAATTCTCCAGTGGCGGGGCCCTGTAACTGTTCCCTAAGCACCCCAGAGAAATCACGCTAAGTGCCTCCATTTCCTGTCCTCCTGTCTATGTAGAAGACTATAGTTAGAAGAACACTGCTGTCCTTTCTCCACTCCTCAAAGGGATTAAGCATACTTCTATTTTCTTAGATTTCTCCTAACCACAGAAAAGGTACGTTTTGTTTTGTGATAAGCTAATCTGGAGGAGGCAAAAGGTTGTCCTCTTCTTTCCATAACTGCATGGGTAAGCCTAATTCTGAGGTCATGTATTGAAGCTCATTGTGGCCACATATCTAAGCCACTTCCTCCAATTTAGCTTCTATCAATAGTAAAATTAATATTTTGATCTCTTTGCTTAATTCTTACATTGCATCTACTTTTCAATTGGTTCTGGGAAGTGGGAGGGAAAGGAATGTTTTTTCCCAATTATACCCTGTGATGGCCTCCAAAATTACCCCCAATAATCCCAATCTCAGTTATTCACACCCTCCCACATTGTTCCAGAGTTGGTCTGTGTGACCAATATAATAATGTGACAGAAATGACAGTATGTTACTTCTGAAATTAGGTTATAAAAGATAATGGCTTCTCTTGCTCTCTCTCACAGATCACTGTTTCTAGGGGCAGCCACTTTCCATCTAATAAGAAGTCCTATATAGAGACTCACAATAACAGCCATGTGAGTGAGACTGGAAGTGGAACCTTCAGGCCCAGTCAAGCTTTCAGAAGACTGCAGTTCTGGATGACAGCTTGACTGCAACCTCCTGAGATCCTGAGCCCAAACAACTCAGCTAAGCTGTTCCTGATCCTCAGAAACTGTGTGAGATAATAAATGTTTATTGCTTTAAGTTGCTAAGTTTGGGGATGATTTGTTATACTGCAATAGATAACTAACAGATTTTAGTACCTGGAAGTGGAGCGCTACCATAATAAATACCAAAAATGTACACATAGCTTTCTAACTAGGCAGTGGAAGTAACAACTAGGTAGTGAAAGGAATTTAAGGAACACACTAGTGAAAGCCTCGATAGCCTTGAACAGACTGTTAGGAGAATTTTGGACGTTGATAAGGCTGCTGGTTGAGGTTTAAAAGAAAGCGAGAAAAATCCTGTTGAAAACAGAAGGTCAGGGAATTCTTGCTATGTAGTGGGAGAAATCTTACCAATATTGTTGTGTGAGGAAATGTGGAAGGCAGAAAATGTACCTAATGAACTTCTGATCTAGCTAAGGAAATTTCCAGCCAGAGTGTCTGAAAGTGCCATCTGGTTTCTTCAAACTGTTTATAATAAAACTGAAAGGAGAGAGATAAAGAACTGTTAAACCAAAGGAGTCAGAACTTGCTAGTTGTAAAAATTCCTAGCTTCTGCAGATGATTAACAATTTTAAAATTAAGAAATAGTTTAAGAGCAAAGGTCACATCCAGGGCACCAATCATGAAAACATGGTCTAAAGGTGAAGCTGGTGGGGTGACTGTAAATCCTTTATTATCTCAGAAAGATCAAAAGTGGTGCTTCAGAGTACCAGTTTAGTCACACAAAAGGCTCTCTAAAGTTTTTAAGGCAGTGAACCACAGATCCTCTCAAACACAGGCTTCTAAGAAGCAGAAGAGCACTGCCCCTCAGCAGAATCACAAGGTGGAACAGGGATTGTCTCAAAGAGATTTGTGGGTGTGACTTTTGTTTAATGGAATGGACTCATAAAATTCACAGAAGAGTCACAAAATTAAAAAAAAAAAATTTATTAGCAGAAACACTGCCAACTAGAACTCAATGGGACAGAGACAGTATAAAATGAAAAGAGGACTCTGTACTCACCCCGCCCCAATTCTACTGTAGATTGAGAAAATTTTTTAGCTGCATAGGTGTACTAACTTTCATGAAAAAGAATGACTCAGAAGGTGTAGCCAGATCCATAAAGAATAACTCCTGGGAAGGAATAGGACTGAATCCTAAGGCACTTCCAACATTTGGCTGGCTGGATTTCAGAGCTGCTTTGGGGGACTCCTGTGTTCCTCCAACTTCTCTCTTTGAATAATAATACATATAGTGTTTATCCTATTCCTGTTCCACTGTTATATGTTGAGCATGTGCGTGTTGTCTCTTTAGTTCACAGGTGTTGGGAAAATAGAATAATTTAATCAGGTCCCCTCGCCTGCCCAGCTGGTTGGGGGAGGGGCAGTGCATTCTTTGTAAATAAGTTGTGTGGGGGTGGAGTTAGGAGCATGTGCGTGTTGTCTCTTTAGTTCACAGGTGTTGGGAAAATAGAATAATTTAATCAGGCCCCCTCGCCTGCCCAGCTGGTTGGGGGAGGGGCAGTGCATTCTTTGTAAATAAGTTGTGTGGGGGTGGAGTTAACGCACATGTACGGCACTGGGCTTGGCTGGCGACTGCCTCCGGTGTCCACTGCACACATGGCCATGGTGCTCTCCAACCTATGGCTTCCAAGGACCTTTGTGCCAGTTACCTAGCTCATAGACCTGCGTGGAAAGGGTCTGGTGACCCAGCCTGGCGTTGGAGAGTTTGTGACCCGGTCTGGACAACAGGCTTGAGGGGTCTGTGAGCTCCAGACCCAGCCCTAGCTCGACAATTGGCCCAGTTGGCAGGATTACAGGCAGGTAAAAGAGCTCGACAACAGGTTTTTAGATTGAGAAGAACTGTATTCAAGGACTGTATTTAAGGAATTATACTTCAGGAGCCTCATGTGTATCTGGATCTGATTTAAATGACAAGGCTCTGGACTTTGAACTGATGCTGTAATGGGATGAGAATTTTAGAAGTTTGGGGATGGATGAATGTATTTTATGTGTGGGATGGACATGATTCATTGGGGCCCAGAGGGCAGACCGTGGTAGCCAATATCGTTTCTTCCTGGTATTCCCAGCCTTGTAGAGTGTCCTGCCTACATTGCCAAAATTCATCCACGTGAAAAATAGAATATAGCAGAAGTTATGGTATGTCACTTCCAATATTAGGTTATAAAAGATATTGTGACTTCAATCTCTCATCACTCACTTTAAGAGAAGCCAACTGCCATGTAATGAGGATCTCAAGTGATGAGAAACTGAAGCCTGTCAACAAGTATGTCAACAAGATTGGAAGCAGATTCTTTGGTCCCAGTCAAGCCTTCAGAAAACTTCAGCCCTAGTTGACAGCTTAATGATAATCTCATGAGTCAGAACCATCCAACTAAGCTATTCCTAGGTTCCTGACCCTAGAAACTGTGTGGGATATAAATGTTGTTTTAAGTTCTTAAATTTTGGGGGTAAGTTTTTTATACTTCGCCATAGATAATTAATACACACCTACAATACATTCATTGTACTTACACCACGTACTATAAGATATCAGAAAAGAGAGATCTTAAAACTTGCTTGGATAAATGGTTGGTGTTTATTATTTTCAGAACATGTCCTTCATGCATAAAGAAACACTCTTCCTTTTCGTTCAGTGTAATTCTTTTGATTGACATAAAAACTTAAGCCTGGCAGAATTCCTAACAGACGTTGTTCACACTTTGCCTTTAATTTAAACAATTCTAAATAGACAGTCAATTTGAAAATTTTCTTGAATTTAGAAAAAAAAAAAAAAACCCTGTTAAACTTTCATAAAACTTTTAATTTGAGCTGGCTTTAATTTTAGGAATATGAATATTCTTGGAATTCATCCAAATCACTAAGCTTTCTTACTCAATCTCTTTTGTTTTTTTCCAAAGAAGAGCCTAATAAAGGTTAGTTCTTGTGAAGGTATCTTTTCCTATTTTTTCTTTTTATATTTATTTAATTTTTTATGATAAAAAAATTTTTTTTATCATTCCACAATGTAATCATTTTTTGTGATGGTATCTTTAAAACGACCAGATGGCTCTAGACATTCAGGATAGAAAGTGTCACTCATAACTTCTATTTACCTATGTTTTGTTTTTCTAAGCAATTGTGTGAATCCGATATTCATTTTTGCCCCTCACTCTTGTTGAGAATGGTGGTGAAAAGCAATGAATTTTTAAGTGATTCAGCTCTAACTCTTCTACATTCTCCTTCCACAAAGCACATATACTGTAATCATAATTCATTATCTTCTCCATCTCACAACTGCCTTCCACCCTAAAGTTATTATGTATTTCACATTCTTTTTCCACCTAGAACTAATTTGTCCAATCAACTGGACATGTTTTTTTCCCCCCCCCTTTTTTTGGGAAAACAGGCTGCTCCTGTGTTTTCAGAGCCTTCCTTTCTAGAATGTGTATGAACTTATTCTCAGACTACTTGTGAGCAAGACACTCTCTGAAGATACAAGTTTGGAAGCACTTTATAAGAAACGGAGGTCTGTCTGCTCTGTTAGTGCATTCCATGAGAAAGCTCCACTGTCCGGGAAGAAAGCTCTGTGTAGGCAACAGTCACTTCTACATGCACAACACAAATGGCACTGAATGTCACTTCATTTTTTAATATTTAATGTCTACATGACCAATAGCACTTGGAAATATATGGAGTGAGATGAGCTGTTAAAATCTAAGTAACCCTGAAGATCTCTTAGCTAGCCAAAAACTTTCCATCCTCATAGTGTGTGCCTTTTCATAGGAAACGAAAACCCTTAAGAGCTAAACCTCCACACCAAAACAGTGAATCCTTTCAGGGCATAATTCTGCAATTCTTTCCTAAGTACTCTTAGATATTTTTTAAATCAGGAAATATATGATGGTAATGTCGGCATGTGACATCCCAGGCATGACTATGTTCTTTGCTATTTCTTCTTACTTGAGCCTCATTCCTGCCTTTATTTTCTTTCTCCTACTTTCTTCACCTACTTCTGTTTCTCCTTTTCTTCTTCCTGAGTTACACTATAACCCTGAAAAGGACCCTCCATGGGATCTGGTACTGGCTGCAGTCTGGGAGATGCCCTGGGTCAGAAGAGGCAGAGCAGGAAGGTACGGGACTCTAAGGAGGCCAGGGAGGAAAGACAGGGTATGGATTTGAGGAGTCTCATGAGGGAAGTCACAGGGCCTATTTCCCAGCAGTTTGCTCTCAAGCCTTTGGAAAGATCCAGAGTCTACTTTCAGTGCTGTGTTTTTAAGTTCTCCTAAAGTCTCACTAAATTTATATGGGACAGCCATATTGGATAGGGACTAACGGGTTCTTAGCATTTCTGACCAGGTTCCTTTTAGATCTGTCTTCACTGGCTGAAGAATCTGCTGTGGGTAGGGTTCCCTTTGGGGTCCCCTCTGACCAGGCTTTTATAGCCAGAAGTAATGAAGAGGGCTCTGGGGTGATGGGATGATACCGAGGCCCTGGCTCCGGGACTCTGAAGTAGGAGTTCCTCTGAGAAGATATGCCAGGCTCTGGTTTATTGCAAACTGGCAATGGGCTGTCTGGAAAAGCCACCAGTGGGCTCCCTGGACGACTACTCAATATACCAGACAACAACCCACGTGACCATTGCAAGAAGCAGGAACCTAAACTCTTCTGAACTTAGTTTGTCTATGAAGTATCAGGCTGATGTTTCAATGTGTGGCTCCATTTGGGGTTTAACCTACCGACCAGAGGTGAGAACATCAAAAGACTGGGTGTGTTTATGTGGTTTGGCAGAGCAGGAGAAGAGAGAGGAGGATAAACCACTGAGTGTTCATGTCAAAATACCTGCAGACTGGTTGGTCTGGTTACTTTTGAGCTGCCTGGCCCAGCAGTGTAGAAAGACAACTGAAGCTTGTCTTGAATAAAAGCTACTATTTATTCAGTTCCTTCCACGTGCTGGACAACATATTAGGTGCTTTACATGTGCAACCTTAGCAATGCTTTGAGATAGGTAATACTCCCATTTGCCAAATTTAAAAAGCTAGATAGTCCAGAGAAGTTCGGTGGTTTGTTCAACATCAGGTTTCTAGTAAGTGGTGAAAATGTCAACTTTGGTATGTAGTTATTTTTGCTATGACATCACATTCATTTTTTTTTTTTGAAAAAACGAACTCTCATTGGCAATATAGTGAAATTAAAATAATAGAGCTGTGGGAGAAATGGGGTTGGTGTTATAAAACTTTGTACATAGGAAATGAAAAACCCAAGAGCAATACAAACAGACGTGCTAGCACATCTGAATCTCTAGCAGCATTTGCCTCTAGCACACAGTTGGTCCTTTGCAGCCTTACAGCCTGGGGCTCAGGCTTCTTGAAGGTCCTTGGTCTACTCACTGCCAATACAGAGCACTTGCATCAATGTTAGACATCTGATCCAGAGGTGTCATACAGAGGGATGCTTCTTCCAAGCTTCTTCATCTGCACTCACAGCTTCCCCAGCTAGTTTAATATAAAACTTAATGGCTTTAAGAATTACTACATCATTGTAAGTCTTCATGGTGTAGGCATACAGGTTTTTCCCTAAAGTCCTGAAATATTTCTAAGGCTTTCTCCCTAAATGTCAGAAAGCTTACCCTAATCACCTTAATTTATGTGTTGGCAAAAATCATGTATTCACGAACACAGCTTTTGCATCACAGTCTTCACTCCTCAATTTTCCTGTCACTTATGAGATACATTGCATCAAAGGAAACAATGTGTTTTAAAGAGGCTTCATTGGCCTTGAGGGAAGCTTATACTGGCTAGAGAATTTCTAACTGATAAAAACTATTTTTTCTCTCTTCACAATCATGATGTTATGATCACACCTAACCAAATTAACAGTGGTTTCTTGGTTTCGTCTAATATTCAGCCCATGTTAAAATTTTATGATAGTCTCAAATGCTATTTATAGCTGGTTTGTTCAAATTAGGACTCAAATAAAACCCAAACATTGCATTTGGTTGTTATATCTGCTACATCTTTTATTTTATAAACTTCTGCCTTTTTAAATACAATTGATTTATTGGAGAAACCAGTCCTTCATACCAGAGTACAATATTCCATATTCTAAATTTGGCTGATTGCTTTCTTGTTATGGTGTTTAAGTAGTTCTATTCTCCATATTTTCTATAAACTGGTAGTTAAAACTCAAAGCTTGGTTTAGGTTCAGATTCAATTTTATTGGTAAGTTAATGTCTTAGGTGGAGCTTTATAGTTCCTATTGCATCATATTTTGAAGTAAAATGCCAATCCTACCTAATTTTAGTAATGCTAAGATTGATCAGGGTATTAGGAGGTAGCAGCTAGATCCCTCCATTATAATTTATCAACTATTGATCATCTCCTAGATCCATTATCTCATTGAGAAAAAAAAATAGTAATTTTCTAAGTCTATCATTTATTTTATCTTTGTTAGCTGGAATTCTGTGAAGAACTTGACCTCATCAAGTCTTTGGATAAATTGAAACACAGCTTGTTCAGGAAAAGTAAAGTCTTGATTCTTTTATCAATTTTTAAAGTAAAATGTTGGTGCCCTGGCCCACTCAGATGGTGATCAATGAGTCTTTCCCTCATTATCATAGTGATAAGTATCATTATGAACTACTCATTTTTTATGAATTTATGTTTTAAGCACTGATATCATTCCTTTTTGCTTAAACTGTCCCAACTTTGCCAGGAGTCTTTTCGGCACAACTTCTATTACTTTTGACATGGCCTCTGTACAGTGTGATTGTTTCCTTGCTTTTTGGCACAAAACTTGTGTGACTCATTTTGTAAATGTCCTGATGTGGACCTAAAATCAACCGTTTTGCAAAAGGAGTTTCTTTCAGAATGATATTTAAAGATCACAATTTTGGCATTAAAGGGGATTTTAGTCTTGAATAAGAGCTGGATGCAATCGGACACAGGTTTTTGTTGGTGATATTTAGATTTTCTAGCTATGCACTAATAATTATAAAACTTTTTTATTGCAATTTCTTAAAGGAAAAATATTTTTATTGGAAATCTAAAACTTGGCATTCTTGACTTCATTTTCCCTTTGGAAAAAAATTTTTTTTCTGTTTCTTTGGTAACATGAGTCTTCTTGGGAATACAACTATTCAGTTTAGCCAGATCAATAGAGAAGTGAACTGGTAGCAAGTACTGAGAAACTACCCTAGGTATTTCAAAATGCCCAACCATAAAGTTTTTGAACTCAGAAGTTATGCTTTGAATTTTTTTTTGTTTTTGAATATTAAAAAATTTAAAAGAGTAAACATTTGCTTATTTTTTGTTTGGGACGTTAGTATATTTTCTATTTTGTAGATTATTTTAGCTTTATGGATATTAACTACTTTGTTTTTGTCCTTGGTTCAGAAATCTGTTCACTTTGTGACGGTCATTTGCAATTCTTCAAATTAACATATAAAAAGAGATCCAACTCCAACTTTATTAGTAGCCAAATGATATGCAAATTAAAACAAGAGCATTTTTATTGTAATAAATTAGCAAAGATGAAAAAAAAAAATATTCTGTTCCAGGGAGTTTTAAATGACAGTTACACTTTTTATGCCTACCCTGCTATCATGTTTCTGGATTTTGTTTCTTTTCTACTTGGAATGTCTCCTCTCTCCTCCCTTCCTCAAGTATCAGGTCCCGCAGGCCCTCTCTTCGGACCTGCCAGGGTTGAGCAGACACAAAGATGCTCTGCATAGAATTCAGGGTTTTGCTGATTTTTTTTTTTTTCTGTAAAGGTCCAGATAGTGAATATTTTAGCCTGTGCTGGCTAAGCAGCAAAATTGAGATATTGTGTATGTACTTATAAAACCTTTTAAAATGTAATCATTAAAAACATAAAAACTAATTTTACCTTGCAGGGCTGTACCAAAATAGGTGGCAGCCTAGACTTGGCCTATGGGCCACAATTTGCCAACCCCTGTCTTAGATCCTTCAGCAAGAAAGAACTCATTGCCCAGCTGGAAGGAATATTACCTAGCAGCCTTGAGCAGCTAACTTCATCATGGTCTACTTCAACCTTGAGCTATTCTTGGGGAAGCCCCTAGTCGATGACTGAGCAAGTCCTAGTCTCCCACTGACAGCCAACAAGGAAAAGGGAAAGAACTGAATTCTGCCAACAACCTGAATGAGCTATGAAGTGGGTTCTTTCCCAGAGCCCCCAAATAAGAGCCCAGCGGGCACCCTGACTTGGACTTTGTGATATCTTATCAGAGAACCAGCCAAATGAACCCAGATTTCTGAACTACAGAAGTATGAGATAATAAATGGATGTTATTTTAAGCCACTAAGTTTGTGGTAATTTGCTACACAGTAATAGAAAATGAATACACTGGGAACTGTAGCTTGCAGGAGACAGCACCTATAAAATAAAGCAGACAGGAGAAAGAAAGAATGGATCTGAGAGAAAAAAAGCCAAAGACCAACAAGATCTTAGCACAATTTATTTTGGTACATCCTGTAGCCGAGATGCTTTAGGCATATATGAATTATTCTATGTTTTCTCAACAGCTATAAAAATTTCATCAATTATTGAGGGAGGCTTTATTTGTGATAATCATGGGGGTGTTAGGAATTTTAGCTAATTACTGTTAGTCTTATTGGAGAAAGATTTTGTTAATTGATGAATGGCCAAATTAGCCTCTCCTTTCTGACTGGTTCTGTTCCTCTGCTTTGGTGTTTATAATTGAGCAGCAGCTACTAAGATGTGGGGGTTGCAGAGAAGAGCCCAGGGCTGTATAGATGAGCCTAGGAACCTTGACTGGCAGTGAGTATTCCTGACAGGAAGTTTGGTGAGCAGCAGCTGCTACCTGTAACAAATACCTGTTATAGCACATTGGGAGTGACTGAGACATCCAAAGGGGTGCTTAAGGATAACAAATGGCCAACCCCCTAATGATTACTTCTAAAAATCCAAACAGAACCCAGAAGTCTCACAATTAGCTTTTGAAAATCCATTACTTATTTCAGACAGAAGCACTTAGGGGAGCAAAATAGCTTATTTCAGTATACATGTTGAGAAGGCAATGTAATAATAGAGTTAAGCTTCAAGGACCTCATGATCAAAGATTTGTGAAACTAATAGCTAATACAGAAAAGAGATGATAGCCCTTTCAAATGCATTTTGAGTGCTCCTATGTGATGTGCAATCTAATTGTGGTGTAATTTCCAGCTACTGATAATGGTTTTGTTCCTGCAGTTTGTGCTACTAGAGGTCTGCATCTATTTGTGCTAGAACTGTACAGATGGCCAGGGCTGGCCAGAACACCTCTGCAGCCATAATCAAAGGTAAGGAGAGGAAGACAAGCTGAATACATTGTGCATGAGAAGGTATAGCATTTAATTTCCCTGATAATCAATTCAAGCTTAATTGTATAGACTTCATTAATGAAACTCAGTATAGACAGTTTGTACTAGGAATAGCATTACATTGATTACCTAATTTCAGAGCAAGAAATTAAAGAGGAAAAAAATAGAGTTTATCCTGCTTTTACTATATATAGCAACTGTAGACAGGACAAATAAATAGCTCCTGTTATTAAAATAAAGCTCATATACAGAAGAGTGCTAGCTAATAAATGTAGAAGTAATGATAGAAATAGAAAATAATAAGATTGCGGGCTGACCCCGTGGCTCACTGAGGAGAGTGCAGCGCTGGGAGCGCAGCGGCGCTACTGCCATGGGTTCGGATCCTATATAGGGATGGCCAGTGCGCTCACTGGCTGAGCACGGTGCGGGCGACACCAAGCCAAGGGTTGCGATCCCCTTACCGGTCACAAAAAAGAAAAAAAAAAGAAAATAATAAGATTGCAAGACATAATGAAATAATCAGTCCAGGCAAGGACCAATAACAGATGCTAAAACTATTAGCTGAACAGTTGACAGAGAACCAGATATTCACGTGGTACCAAAGTATCACCCCCATAAATTACTTGCTAATGGCAAATGGGGAAAAAGAACCCTTTGCAATGGAGAAATAAGGCTATTATCACTTGGTAATCAAACTTTCTATCTGATTGCTCTACTATTAACAATGCTATGGGACTTCTGAAATAATACTTTATAAATTATATGGCATTACCTATATTCTGCTCAACAATGTTTAAAATGGAAGTTGGGTCTAAAGCCTTGATTAGATTCAAGTTAAAGGAAATATAAAGCAGAGAAGAACAAATTAAGTGACATTATAAGGAAACAATTGGGTACATTCAGAATGTGTGACTTTTATAAGATAACTGGTGTGGTCTCAAAAAAAAAAGGTCAATGGCAAGAAAATAAGGAGTAGTTGCCATTAAGAGGTTAAAGAGGTTAAAGAGATTAAGAGGTTAAAGAGGCAGAACCAAATCCAACATAGAATCTTTTAAAATTTTTTTTTTTTAAAAAGATGACCAGTAAGGGGATCTTAACCCTGACTTGGTATTGTCAGCACCACACTCTCCCAAGTGAGCCACAGACCGGCCCCAACGTAGAATCTTTGATTGGGTTTTGGTTTTTCAGAAAAGCTTGAAAACACTTTGGGTTAATGGTGAATGTTTGAATGTGGTTTGTTCAAATGTTGGGCAGGGGCCTTGCAGCAAACAGATGGCAAATGCAAAAGAACATAATCATGAATCATTTAATACAGAGACTTTTTTTTTTTAATGAAGAGACTATTGAGAGCTGTAGGCAGGACTAATAGAAACGACAGGGAAATATCACCCACCACACTTAGACCTGAAAGAGCAATCATGGGGGCACTTGTGAGAGTCCAGTCATAGCTGGAACTGTTAAACAGGACATTGCTTAACAGAGATTTGGTGGTAGATACAGACAATACCAGACCAGTAACCTGACAGGGGTGAACAACAAAAATGTATCGCAGCCTCTCTCTCACCCTCTCTCTGATCTTTTGCTGTTGCTCCGCATTGGCCTCTCATGCCTGCAGGTAACTCCCATTGGCTGACCCCAATTGGGAGCCTGGCTGTGGCTGTCTGTAGAAGTCAGCCTCTCAGGGCTCAGAGCATAACAGAGAAAGATGGATAATGTATCTGGAGGTATGAAGCAAAGAGAGAATAAAGCACAACTGGGTATTAGAGTAGGTTAGGGAATTATTGTTGTTAGGAGTGATAATGGTGTTTTGTGATTATATCATAGAATGTCCTTAGGTTTTTTTGTTTGTTTTTTTAATGCATGTTTAAGTATTAAGGGATGAAATGTCTTAATGTCTCATTTGTTCTGAAATGGTTCAGCAACTGAAGCAAATATGAAAGCAAGCTTACAGAATTTTATTCATTATTGCTACCAGCTTTGTGCATTCAGTCTCCAGTTAAGTCATGCCTGAAAAAACAGCTCTGGCCTCCTTTTCCTAAACTCATATTTGACACATGGTAGATGCCAAAAAATAAATTCTGACCCATACACCTCTTTTTCAGTGATTATCATATTTTCTGTCTGCCCTATACACACTTCTATTATAAAAATTTTTTATCACGTCTTTTTTTTTTTTAGAGCAAGGAAAATTATCATGGATAAAGAGGGCATTAACTAATGATAAAGGGGTCAATAGTCCAAGAAGACTTAACAATCTTTAGTGCATATGTGCCTAACAACAGAGCTTAAAAATAAGTGAGACAAAAACTGATAAAATTGTAAGGAGAAACAGATGAATCCATCATAATAGTTGGAGACTTTGACACCCCCTAATCAGAAATGAACAAATGTAGCAGGCAGAAAATCAGTAAGGGTACGGTTGAACTCAACAGTACCATCAATCAACTGGATATAATTGACATCCATAGACTATTTCATCCAACAACAGCATACTATACATTCTTCTTAAGCTCACATGGAGCAGTCACCAAGATAGACCACATTATGGGCCATAAAATGCACCTTAACAAACTTAAAAGAAGAGAAATCACAGTGTCTGCTCTCAGACAGCACTGGAGTTAAACTAGAAATCGTAACAGAAAAATAACTAGAAAATCCCAAAATACTTAAAGATTAAACAACACACTTCTGAATAACACATGGATTAAAAAAGAAACCTCAAGAGAAGTTTAAAACTGTTTTGAACTAAATGAAAATGAAAATTCAACTCATCAAGATTTGTGGGATGCAGCAAAAGCAGTGCTTAGAGGGAACTCTCTAGCATTGAATGAGTAAATTAGAAAAGAAGAAAGACCTACAATCAATGACCTAAGTTTCCATTTTAAAAAACTAGAAAAAGAGCAAATTAAATCCCAAATAAGCAGAAGAAAAGAAATAATAAAAACTAGAGCAGAAATTAGTGAAAGGGGAAATAGGAAATCAGTAGAGAAAATCACCAAAATCAAAAGCTGGTTCTTTGAAAAGATCAATAAAATTGATAACCCTCTAGCCAGGCTAAGAAAAAATGAGAGAAGTCACAAATTACTAATACTGGAAATGAAAGAAGAAACATCACTATGGATCCCATGGACGTTAAAAGGACAACAAAGGAATATTATAAACATTGTCATAGTTTGTCTCTCCTATAAGCCATGAGTTTCTTGATAGCAAGGATTTTGTCTTACTCATCTATGAGCACCCATTGTATACCTTATAATGTCCCATAAAATGTTATGATTTCGTTCTATTAGTCCTGAAAGAAATGCTGTAAGAGGTGAAAATATGAAGAGTATAAAGAGTTAAAACAGAAGTTACAACAGGTGATACAGCCTGGTTGAAGGGTCTAAGATGACTGTCATAAAAGAGAAGGGAAGGTCAAGGGCAGAGCTTTAAAGGAAGAGAGGATAAAGGATAAAACTTGATTAAATGGCTGACCCACACTAAAGTTCAGTCTAGAGTCAGTGAGAAGTCCTAGGGTGAGGTAAGGCAAATAGCAGCAGCAGAGCCTTGGGTGGAGCCAGGTCCCTAGGAGGTCTGGGATGTCTATAAGGAGCAGACAAGTGGTGTTTAACCATCCAGACAAGTTACCATAAGTGAAGTTCAGAGAATGTGGACAGGCCTCGAAGACCAGGGATCAGACCAAGAAGATAGAAAAGGCGTAGAATTCAGAGATGGAAGCTGACTATAAGATATTTGATTCTGTATAGGCAGATTTAAGATGATGCCAACAATGGGTTGATGTAGATGAACATTTCTGGAAATTCTAGTTAGTGATTCACTCTAAACTCATGTAGGATGGGACCACTTGAAAGGCATTTATTTTATAATTATGTGTGTACATGCTAAGGGCTAATTCTTATCAAGCACTTGGCAATGTGCCAGCCACTCTTTTACACATACCATATGTAAACCATTTAAACTCGCATCAACCCTGAAGGTAGGTACTACTATTACCCCTGTGTTACAGATGAGAATAGTGAGAGTAAGAGTTAAGTGGTCTAAGAATGATCCCCTACAGCTTGCCCTTCTAGAAAAAGGAGCTGGATTACTGCAAAGTTCCATGGAAACCCACCAGAACTAATTGCCTTAAACTCTGGGCCATAGCCAAAAGCAAGTCTTTTCCACAAGGCTTGCCAGTAAATGGCTGAACTGAGATTTGAACCCAGACAGTCTGAGTTCTTTTCTTGCCAGAGTAGGGCATGGGGCTTCTCCAAGCATGAAGGTTGAGGTGATGAATCCTGCCACTGGCTTGTACTCCAGTTCCTTGATTTTGCAGACAGAACAGCTGGTGCTAACCTCAACACCAATGCTAAGCTGGAAGGATAAGGCTGGAAGAAAAATCCTAACCTGTAATATTCCAATTGTATTCCAGACCCTGATCACACCAAGGAAAAACCTAGGCTCTCCTAATCCTGCAGCTTAAAAGCCCCACAACCCAAGTGTGGGGGATCTGCTCTATTAAAGTCTGACATCCAGCTTGACCAGATTGTTATGTGCTGTCTTAGACTAAATAACTGGAGACTCACATACCCATGTGTTTTTCTGTCTCCATTAATGTTTCCCAGTGAATGCTGCTCCAGGATGTTAGCCATTTGCACAACAAAGCAAGGCATGGAGAAGAATTTGCTAAGGTCACATAGCTGCATAGCCAGTAAGTGGGTGAACTGAGATTCAAACTCAGGTAGTCTGAGTCCAGACTCTGTCATCTCTTGTGCATGATCTCTAATGGATAGGTAGACTTCTGTGTCCTATGTCTATGTATTTCCCCATGATGCATAGCACAGACTTGCACTTAAATTCTCACTAGATATTTGAATGATTGTAACAGTGATGTGAAATGACACGGAAGGGAGATAGCCCTGATTTAATTGAAAATCTTTCATAAAGCCAGCCCAGCCAATTCTCTACAAACAGGATACAAATGCTTTGCATTTAATTGC